AAAATTCTACACTTACCCTTGTTGAATTTCAGAAATCCTGTTGCCCTTGGAACACTAGCAGATTCTACACTTACCCTTGTTGAATTTCATAAATCCTGTTGCCCTTGGAACACTAGCAATAGCTTTTATGCAACTGATACCACATTTACTGGACACACTAGCTTATCTGCATGTTTGGGACAGGTGATGTGACTGACAGGGACTCCACAGAAATCAGTAAGTCTTCCTCCTAGAGAGATGGCTGAGACTAGCCCCTAATTTAGCATGCACAGACCTGACTGATTCAACTGAAATCTGCCCGAGAATAAGCAGAAAGATCTGGTCTGACCAAAAACCTCCTTCATTTCCTCCACAGGTCTGCGCCATATAACTATCCTCAAATTGCTAGGACTTGGAGAAGATATTGGAGGTGTCTTAGAGTTGTATCCAATTAATGGTAAGTGACAGTTTCCAGTTTCTTCTGTACTACCCATGAAGGATAATACATAGTGCTGAGTGCTTCCTTGCAGTAATTTCTTTGGAGGAGTGAGTATGACTGTGGTTTTTGTTTTGTTTCTTTTAAGAAACAAAATGACACAAAAGCAAACAACCATCTTTATTAGTGTTCCTGTGCTAAACATCATATAGCTTCTTCAGGACAGAAATGTCCGAATCATCATCTGGAAGTCATCCCACATCTTTATCGCCTACCTGAACACACAGCTCCAAGTACACTCCTCTGCCTGCCTTACTGTCAAAGTGATGTCGGTGACTTTTACATGCTCAAGAGCTTGCAGGGCTAACGGAACAGAGACACAGCAGATTGTTTTGTATGGGCCTTTCATTCATCTTCATAGAATGGTTTGGGTCAGAAAGGACCTGTTAAAGGTCATCTAGTCCAACCCCCCTCACATAGCAAGGGACATCTTTCACCTGCTCAGGTTGCTCAAAGCCCCGCCCAACCTGACTGAAATTTCCAGTTATGGGGCACTTTTTTGTGCAACCTGTTCCTGTGTCACATCACACTAATCTTAAAAATCCTCTTACTTAGATCTAATCTAAATCTACCCTCTGTCAGTGTAAAACCACTACCCCTTGTCCTGTCTCTGGGCCCTGCTAAAAAGTCTTTCTCCATCTTTTTTATAAGCTCCCTTTAAGTATTCCACTTGCATCCAAGCCGGCTACTTCAGGTAACTAACCTTAGGAAATCTCACTGTCAGGGTACATTTCAAATGGTACAGGTTTCTCTACCACCAAATCCTAACAACTGCCTCCATCAGTGGAGGAACAAATATAGGAAAGAGTTTATTTATCCCATTGCTATTTCTATTACTCTGTACATGAAAGCATCCTAGTCCTTCTACCTCATACAAACATCAAGTCCATGCCTAAGAAAGAGTAAGAACAGAGGAAGTGAATGTCATGCTTCCATCAACACTCTTGCAGCCCCTGCTAACTTTTCACTGAAGGACTTCATAACCTTGGTTATAAGTTCCTGTCTGTTACAATCAACAGGTATCTTTCCAATTACATATCTAATATCCCTTTGAACTCACATTAACATCCAGAATGTGTCCTGTGAGAAACTCTACAGATCCACAAGGTACCTTTTATTTGTCCTGAACATGGCCCCTAAAGCTTTGTTTGATGTGTCTTCTGACTTGCAAGGGAAAAAGGTAAACATTTAATCCCCATCCACCCCTGCAGTGATATTCACAATCCTGTAGACTTCTCACCAACACATTTGTTTCACAGACTGCAGTCTTTATTTACCTGGTCATTTCTTATACAGCGTTTACTCCAAACCTATGACCAACCTGGTTGCCTTCCTGACTTTTTTCCCCTGTACTGCCATATTCTTTTGAGGTGAGAGAATCAGAATTTCATGAATGGTTCAAAATGCACATAAACAACAGGTTTCTGTAGGGGTATATATTCTGGTTTGCCTCTTAATATTTTTCTCATGGTTTATAACATCTGTTTTGGCTTTTAACCATCAATGAGCACTGAACTAGCCCTTCATGAAACTCTCTTTCATAGCCCCAAGGTCTCATTGCCAAGTGGTAATGGTCAAACTTCACCATTTCTTATATGGAGTTAACAAAATTTTCAGTGTCCATCATTTAACTTCAATATGAATAGAATTTCTTCTGTCATTTTATTAACCAGTCACACAGTCTTAGAAGGGTCTTCTGCAATGCTTCACAATCATCCCCTGCCCTTACGACTCTGAGTATCTCTACACCCTCAGTACACTTCCTCACCTCCATGTTCACACACCTTATATGCATCATTTACAAACACATCGAACAGCACCAGCTTGACCACAACCAACCACAGAACTTCACTGGTCAGCTCCCTCCACTCTCAGAACTGATCATTAATTCCCACTTTGTTCAACCAAGCTACTGAAGCCTTCTGGAAATCCACATAGCCTCTATCAGCCACACCACGCTGTGATTTTCTCATATGCCTTCTGCATTATGTGAACCAGTGACCCAAGCTGCATAGAGGCCAAAAAAGTGCATGTGTGTTGGCTGACAAAAAGTTGTGCCTCATTCCAGTAGCTTCAGCCTAGAGAATAAAGACAAGTTTACTAAACCTATGAAAACTCTTAAAAATACATCTTTAGTTCACAGTGGAGCAGTTTCACTTCAGATCCAGGAAATCCTGAACTTGTAAATGACAAGAATCGTACACTACCAGCTACTGGGCCATATCCTCTCTCATGTTGCTAACTTGCTTATCTACAAATCATCATCCTTGCCTAAAGAAAATATCAATGCAGTTTTTATGTGATTGCTTTCTAGGAAGCTCTACTGTAGACAGAGAAGATATCCCAGCTAATTTGGTGAAAGACATTCGGAATTATTTCCAAATTAGCCCAGAATACTTCTCCATGCTTCTAGTTGGGAAAGATGGAAACGTCAAATCCTGGTATCCTTCTCCAATGTGGTCTATGGCAATTGTGTATGATCTGATTGATTCCATGCAGCTTCGGCGACAGGAAATGACAATTCAGCAATCGCTCGGCATGCAGTGCCCGGATGATGAGTATGGTGGGTATGGTTACCATAGCTATCACCAGGGATACCAGGAAGGTTACCAAGACGACTACCGTCACCACGGAAGTTACCACCATGGATATCCGTACTGAAAAGAGCAACTTAGCCTCTGACTGCCCCGTGCCTGTCTTCTAATAGCTATCCAAGCAATAGGCGGCCAGTTGCAGACAGTCTTCCCAGGCCACCTAGGTATCCATGCCTTGTTCTTCCACTGTTCAGTCAAGGGACTTCGGTCATTTGCCTTCTCAAAAATGCAGAAGCCTTTACAGTGAAGCAATTCAAACCAGTAGCATTGAAGCTTTAAACAATAAAGACTCCTTTATATTTTTAAACCTTTATAAACAAAGGGCATCAGCAGGTGCTGTTCATATTAAAACCAAACAGAAAAACCCCACAATCCCAGTTCTTGGTCACTACGGTATGGCAGGACATAAACTGTCCAACAAATATTGCAATGCTTTTTTAGTATTTTTTTCTAAGGAGGAAAAGTTAAGTATATTTATTGGAAAGCAGGATTGCATTGTGCTCATGAAGAGAAGCACATAATCACACTTCAGGACTTTCCCAGAAAAAGGAAAATTTAAGAAATAAGCATGGGACAGGCTCTTTAGTAATAACAATAATAATAAAATCCTTTTGAAGTACCATGTCTAAAAAGACAGCATCCCTTCTACAGTGCATTAACATTGTAATTAGCTGAGTTCATTGATGAAAGTAAGAATTTATGACTATGGCAGGATTTGTTTCAATACAACACAATGTAAAGTTCTTAACTACAAAGCTTGCTGCATGGACCCCCATAATTGGGGACCCTGTTCTCTTAGATCCTGCTCGCCTCACAGTTAAACACAAGCTAATGAGAGCTAAGTGGAAACACCAGCCATAGTTTCTGAAATACAGAAAACTGAAAAGCATTATTTTCACCAGAAAGAAAAAAACCAATTCTCATTCACGTATACTTTAAATGAGTTGTAACTAGCTCTCTATAAGTGTTTAATTAAACTATCACTTTAAATTTCACATTTCCTTCTATCTCTTCTTCTCATACCCTCCTCCATGAAAAAAAAAATCTATACTAAATGTTTATAAAAGTCTTTGGGAATAGTTTGATCAGCTCTATTCCTACCATGCTTTCTGAAATGGTTTTCTTCTCCCTTCTCATTGGTGTCTTTGGGCACTGGATCTGTTACACCACCCCACTCCTGAAATCAGCAGCAGGAGCTGCATGCATGGCCATGCCTTCAGCAACAATTGGGTTAGATTTCTAAGCATTAAAGACGCAGCAGAAAGATTCAGGAACATCTTGAAGTGAAGGTATCATGCAAGCCTTCAGAGTGGCGCAGTGGTCACTTCTCATATTGAAAGCATGCCTCATCAGTCATGTTTCTTTTTATAATCCATAGCATGGGTGCACATACCATGCATAGATACATGCAACTAGTTTTGCAACCACAGCCATAGCACAGGAATAGGGAGAAGCTATAGCTCTAAGCTGGCCAGAGCATACTCCACAGTTTGAGTTCTAGCATTCTCCTGATGCTTCTTTTTTTTTTTGCCCCAGATGAAAACAGAACTGAGTAAAGCAACACGTTCACACCAAATCAGATGCTTTCTTTAGAAATCTAGTCACAGAAGGTCAAACCTTGCTTGTCCTTCTTCATGTGAGAAAGGCAGACAGATTTGGAGGTCACAGGGGCTGGGCAGCTCTTTATTAGCTTTACAAACCATGTCACTCTCTGGGGTAGGCTGCCCTTCATACCACAAGGTCTAGTCAGCACAGGATACAGCTCCCAACTTACCTCTCTCAGGTGACTGCAGCTAAGTGGGGGAAGAGAGGCATTTGACAGAATCATTCAAGAGGACCACAGAGAGCTTCCAAGCTCTCATTAACTACAGCATTTCCACTGCCAAGAGCAGTTGACAGAGAAACGCAAAAAAGCGAAGAGGAGCTACAAAAAAAAAAAAAAATCACTGAATTGAAAAGTTTCTAGAAGAAAATGGGAGGTTCAAAATCTCAATTTTAGAAAACAAGTGCTTGTTGCATCAGTGTATTAAGGTCAGCTGCCTAATTTTCTTTGCCTAAAGCAAAAGCAGAGGAAAGCATACCAGATGTCTAACAGCCACCTCCTGTAGACAAAAAGAGAAACACCTTTGGGGTGTTTTCTTTCAGGTGTTCTTTTCAACTTTTCTCTAATCTTGATTTTCATGCAAAGTCTTTAAATGAAAGCCCTTTTAACTCGCTTTACAAATCATGGAAACTAAATGTCCTGTGCTGAGCAGGAGGAGGAGACAGTTAACTTACAAAAAAAGAGTGCAACACCTAATCCAAATTGCCTTTTTTTTTTCCCCTCTCCAGAATTCAAAGTTGTGCAAGTGCCAAACCCAGCCTAGGCATTCAGTGGGAGCTGCATTAAAAAGACAACCCCAATCAAGTTGTACACTTACAAGGGAGGTTGGGATGGGCTCATATCCAAAACTACACACTCATGTATTCACAGAATTTGAGGAAGACTCAGTATTATTCCCCATTCTGGTGCTGACTTCTGCCTTCATTACAAACTGGCTCAAAATTACCAGAAACTTTTAGCAATGATTTAAAATCCTGGTTTTGCAACCTACCTCTCCTCATGGAAAACTTTTTAGCTTTTAGGAACACCAAGCCAAAAAATCATTCCAACAACAACATATAGTTATCTTGAAGACTTACTATAAACATTCAGGAGCTACAATACTCCAAAATGAGGCTTCATTTTGCAAAACACAAGCCAAATCCAAAGCACTGGATCTGTCCCTGCAGCATCACTCTGTAGACAGACTCACAGAGATTGAGATCCAATTTCTACAGCCCTCCGTGGGAAGATTCCGCATGATAAAGAAAAATATTTTTCTTATGCGTATTTATGGGATTTGCTTCAGCTTCAAAATGGCTGTTTTAATCCACAGGCTATCTTTAAAGTACCATGGCTCAGTTGCTACATTCACAAAATAGCTAAAATTAACCAAAATTCTCTTCCCGGGAGGCTTTGTGAACCGCTTCCTCAAACCTGGAGGGGGGGACATAACATCCTCAGCAGCAATTAAGTTCAACCATTTCTAAATAACAGCTCTAAATAACAGCTTAGAAAGAGCTCTCCTTCCAATGTGTTCATAAAGACTATGTGCCAAACTAATGCTGCTCTCCAAAAACCTCCTCATAAACTTCTTTATTGTCACTTGAGGAGAAAAATAGTAAGCTTTCCAAAATGGAGTAGGTCAAAAACTGTACCGTGGAAATACTTAATCAAGTAGGATTCACATGATCTATTTGAAAAGTGTAGCTCTATAGAACAGCTTCCCTTTGCCAACCAGGGCTGCTCTCCAGCTGACAACTGTTTACGGTCACTTCCTCTAACAACTCTTATGTACACACTAAATTTGCCTATTGCCATGGATAGTACAGCTGCACAGAACTGCATGGATACACTTTCGGGTTACCTTAAACACTTTTTTATTGGTAAGTTGATGCAAATCCTTACCCATTTTTAGACAGCAGTTAACATTCCTGTTGCTGCAAAGGGGAAATACAGTTCTCCTCCATTATTAAGAGAAACCTGCCTGGCCAATCCAACAGAATCTCTCTGGGACCTCCAACCTGAAGACAGTAGAAAGATTTCTACATGTTAGACAGGACAAATTCTACCACACAAGTAAAGGCTTGGATCAACAGTTATATACTTGATATGTTTGGGCAATCTAAGACTCTGGCAAATAAGTCAAGCATGATAGCATTGGTGAAATTTATAGAGGGAAGAAAAATCATTAGGCTGGACAAGAGTTGAAAGCAAGAACTAAGTGCACTTTATAAAAATCTGCAGATCAGTCATTTTCAGATCTCATTTCTCTTAATGCAGATATTTCAGGCAGGAAGGTCAACCATAAGGTTTTTAAGACATTCATCTTTGGTTTGACGCTCTGTCATTAGAGGTATGAAGCTGATTTTTACATTCTATCTTAAGGCAACGCAAAGCTCTCCAGAAAACATCATGTAAAAAGCTACTGCTCATGTAAACGCAAAACAATCTAAAGCTAATGGTACTTTCACTCTTCTTGGAAATACCTGCTCAAGTTGGTAGATATGATTGAAAAAGACAATGAACTCAGGCAGGTATATATTGCAAAGCTGTATGTAATGGAAAAAATGAAAATATCTTATTGCAACTAAGTCTTTAACAGTTTGAGCTTCTTTTTTTTTTGCGTTGAACTTTCATTTCCCAAAATAGGATATCACAAACCAATGAAAACCATGTTTCTGGAATTTACATTGAAATATGCTTTCTTACTCATTCTGTACAGATGCAAACAACTAAGATTCCTTCTGTTGAAATGGCCTACCGTATAAGCACAATGAGATTAGCTGTAAAAAATGTTTCAACTACAACAGTAATTCCACTTTTATTCTTATTACATGCTAGGAAAAGTTAATAGTCCAAGGGAAAAAGAAATTAAAATAACAATTTTAGATTCACAGTTTGTAAAACTGATAGTCACGGGTCATGTTAGCTCAGTGGGTTGAGTACGATGCTGACAACGACAACACCGAGGTCACGGGTTCGATTCCTGTTCGGTCCCCATGTGTTGCCGGATCTAGTTGAGAGGCATCCCTGCCCATGACAGGGAGGGTGGATTAAATGATCTCTAAGGTCCCTTCCAACCTAGGCCATTCTACAATTCTATGATTCTATGATTCTATGTATGGAAACAGGCTGCCCAACTTGACGGATCAATGACAAGAGGTATGCTAATTAATATAGCAATGAGCCATCAATTCAGTATGCGTAAGTAAGAGCTGTTATATGCATAGCCTGGAAACAGGATGGCAGAGGGGAACAAAGGCAGGACTGTCTTCAGTCCACAGAGAAATGCATCACTAACTGATTAGTACACACTGTGGTATGAGGCTTTGACACTGAACTCATTGCTTATCTTCTTCAGAATTCTTCTGACAGTATCTTTCAGCTATGAAAGACGCATTTTTGAAGGGAGGAAATTACAAACCAACACCTTTTCCGCTGTTCCAAGAAAACAGGCTTTAAGAACACACCAAGAATCTCTTATGTGCATCCCTATTCCCTTCTCTGTTTTAAAATTCTCTGAATTACTTGGAACCTATTTTTCATTTGATGCAACAGATGCCTCAATAGTGATTCCAAGTTCACTGCACCTGGCATTCTGCAGAACAATTTCACTCTCTACAAAATGAATGCAAAATCTTATCAGTCTAAGAGGGTGGAGCAACACCAATTGATACTACCACCTGCACCTTTCTGCTCAGTGCTCCAGATGTTGAAGGGATATTAAGTAGACTGTAGTTGCATAATATTTGTTTTCGGATAGTGGCCTCAGGGGAAACCAAACCTCTACACATAGTCTTTCTAAACACAAAAAAGACCCTATAATGCATTCATACTGTGTAGCACACTTCTGTTTTATTCAAGCTCATCCAA